GCTCAGCCAGTGAGCAGGAACCGGTCTCCACATGGGATCCAAACCCTCGGCGGGATCGTCACCACGCTCCCAAGCGGCGCACTCTCCAGTGCGCCACCGGGCCGGCCCAATTCCTGTTATCTTTTAATTCTACTTCTCCATGGACTTTTTGAAGTACTCTCATATTTTAAGAAATGAGCTCGAAGAAAAGCAGTTAGAATCATACTGGTCTGTTATACTGAACTCATCATCCTTGATATTACAGATCTAATAAATAATCACTAGCATAAACTCCACCCCCATTTTAACCCCAGGTTTTTAAGAGTTGTAAGAAAATGTTTAGCAACATAAATAATGAGAATATTAAAATATGGACAGAAAGGAGAGATGATATCAGTAATATTTAGCATATGGATATGGTAATGAGGGATACATGGGGTTTGTCTTATGTACTGGATTAAATAAAGAAAACAGGATAAGAAGCTAGTTTTTAAGAGGAAGAAAGGAAATAAATTTGAAGAGTCAGTGTGACATCCAGGGAGAAGTCAGTGACCTGTGAGGGATTAAAGGTCAAAAGAGAAGACTTTTATAGTTTTTTTTTGTCCAGTTTTGCCACCTTTACCATTGTTCTCTACCTTTGTGTTTAGTTTTCCATTGCACTAGTCTCAAGATAGAATTACTATATACACACACGTACACACACTTTGATGATTCTACATGTTCCCCGCTCTTCTTATTTAAACCTTAATTAAAATTGCTTCCAGAAAGTTTATCCACTAACAAAGATGCAGGAAAGTGCAAGTTATTCACCAGTTTTTTATTGCATCTAAATAACTATTTTTATGTGATATTGACAAGGCATAAATGCTTTTAATATTAAATTCATGTAAATATCCATCATAAATATACAAAATAAAACTAGAAACAGGATTCCTACTATTATTAAGCAATAGAAGAAAAACTTTTAAAATTATGACATATACATAATAATATGCTAAACCAACTTCTAACTTAAACTCATTAAGAACAACATGAAAATTTATGCTAATATTAGTTATTTCTTTCAGCATTGAATATACCAGCTTGATTCAAGAATAACAAATAAAAATTTAAGAATAACTTCTAAGAAGCTTTATATTTATACTAAATGTTTTTCAGAGAGTCCTTGTGCAGATGAGGAAATTTTATTGGTTAAAAAAACATGAGTTGACAGCTTCTCTTTCATAGTCTTGACTGCTTAAGACTGACTGCTCCTGGAATTCCTTAAAACTCAGAAAGAATACTTCCTTCTCTACTTGTCAAATGTGTAGAAATCAAAACTGTGAAACTGTGTAAATTATTGACATTTACAAAAGTTCACTTCAAGCCATGTAAAATGCAATTAATAAATTTGTCTAATACATATTTAAGAAATAAGCCAAAAGAAAATCTAGAATGATAGCCCTTGTTTTTTTGTAAGCACAGTTATATCTATAACAAACAAACAATTAGCTACAATAATTTAACACTCACTTTTTACTCTTTTCTAGAAAGGCTTTTCACTAGTTTGAATAACATTCTAAAAACATTTTAATGCTGAGAAAACATGTTTGTCTGCTAGAGGACCTAATCAACTAATATCCTCTACTAACAACTGAACTCTAATTAAAAGGGTGAAAATTTTCTCATTTTTGTAATAAACAATCTATGTTACAGTGTTTTAATAGCAACCACATGAAATATCTTCAAATATTTAGTCTCATTTTTAAAAGATGGGCAAATAGAATGTTTAAACTAATTCATCTTACCTTTTAGACGATAACTGGGTAGTCAATTGCACCACTTCAAAAGCACATATTACAAGAACGAAGGGGATTAAAATCTGTTTAAAAGAACAAATGATGCCACAGATAACCAAAGCAAACAAATACTATTTCTGCTTATAGAAATACTTTCAATTTTTCAAAGAACTATTATATATACTAGTCAAGAGCAGACACTGAAATAAAAGCCTGATACCAATGACACATAGAACAGTGATGAAACTGATTTAAAAGTCTACATTAATAAAATATGCAGTATAAACAATAACAAACATCAGAACATAATCCAAATAAAAGCCCATTATAAATTTTATTCTATTTAACTTATTCTAATAATTAATGACTATGTTCAAAAGACTTTAAGAGGGTGTGAAAGGCAAACAATGCTCCAATCAAATAAATATGTAGCCTAATAATTTGATCCACAGATCCCTGAACCCATCTGGTTATGTGAAACTATAACACTAAAAACCTGATTTGGCTGCTTTATTATTGCTTTTTGGTATTTTTAAAATATTAATTTATTTTTTATTAATAATAAATTTTATTTTTTTGTCTTTTTTTTGTCTTTTTTT